AGGTATTGTTGGATAGTCCTTGAAGGGATAAAAACAGAAATGATTCATATGATCTCCCTTATTAATAGAACAAAGATCATCTTAATTAAGTCAATTAAGAGAAAAGAAAGAAATAGTGAATAGACCTGAGATACCTAAAGTTCTACTTAATGAGTCTCATTTCATTTGTAAGATGAATTTGCCTCAGGAAGACTAAGATGTTAATATGTAAATTTCCTTCATTCTCTTATGGAGAAAATGCTGTTGATACATGCAGTCAATTTAAAGGTTCTTTTCCAATATTTTTCTGCTGAGCAACAAATGCCTTTAAATACAGCTTAATAGGAACACTCATCTACCCTGAGACTGTAAGGGTTAGGGCCAGGGAAGCAAAACAGCTTTGAGAAGTAAGGAGCCCGTGGGGGCAGTGGAGAATTGGGAAGGGGGACCTACAATCCACCTTCCTCCAGCTCCCAGTCTCTTGGGTTTGTAAGCTGGAGCAATTTTGGCAGTGTCCTGAACAATGAGTTAGTTCAGCAGCCTGAGCCACCAGCATGTGTCTGAGGTGCTGCTTAGGGAAGGAAAGCCATGGGTCCTTATATAAGTCACTCAGAGGAGATCTGACTCTCTGGAGGCGGTGGCATCAGAGGCTCTGGTCTGAAGCGGTTTTGTGTCCTTGGATGTTTTCCTGGGTGCTTCGTTTGTTGTTTCCTGATATTGGCTCTTTCCACATTTATTAGTCAAAAATCGAACTGTCATTTATCAGCATCTTTGTGAACCAGCATGGCAGCAGAATTACGCTAGATGGCTCATGATTCTTAAATCATGGGTCTTTTAGATATTTAAAAAGAATAAAACATGCCATTCTCCGATACCATCTATGTTTGAGTTACCTTGGGTCTACATTTAACAGTGAACGGGAAAGGTTTTTATTGGCCTCTTTAAGAACAAAAGCCAAGCAGTTCCTTAATCTTTACCAAATTAGGGCCCAAAGGCACTGACCTGTCTCCTCCTGTGGAGGGACAGAGGGGTAGCAGGTGAAATGGTTCAGATGCCTAGGACCCAGCAGGAGAGAATACTGGCCTTGTGCGTTTATCTCCGCCCCACCCTCGAGTCTACTCGTAAATGCTTATTCACCCTGGACATATAAGGCTTGAAGAAGCAGGGGTCTATGAAAAGAAAGGCCAAGGGGGAGGAGACTTCAATTCCAAGACAGTTTGTATGAGGCTCACAGTGTTCTTAATGCCAGGAAGACCTTCTGTACTGTATTCGCAACGAAGAGATCCAGTAAATCAAGTTCCCTACAGGTCGAGTTCATAGGAGAGCGGTCCGTTCTATTTTGGGAGAAGTGAAATGGGAAGGATAATGCTTAGATCATTTCTGGAACTGGCACATGGATTCCTCACCAAATTCTACACAGGAATGAGAAAAAGGAATTTTGCATATCATTCAGTCAGTCACAGAGAGTTTAATTTTGCAAGAAGAATTCTTTTTAAAGCCCAAAGGTTTAGCTGTTATTTTTGTGTCTATAGAACTATTTCTATTATGCTTAAAACTAAGTATGCTGGTTAATTGTCATCAGCTTGACACAAACTAGAGTCATCTGGGAAGAGGGAACCTCAGTGGAAGAATTGTCTCCATCAAACTGGCTTACAGGCACATCTTTGGAACATTTTCTTTGATTAATGGTTGTTGTTGGAGGATCAAGGCCACCTTGGGCAGTATCATCCCTGGGCAGGCGATCCTGGGTCAAACAACAAGGAAAGCTAGTGGCTGTGCTCTTCCTTGGTCTCTGCCTCAGTTCTTGCCTGGAGCTCCTGCTTTGGCTTCCTTCAATGATGGACTTTAATCTCTAAAATGTTATAAACTCTTTCCTCCAGAGGTTGCTTTTGTTCTTGTTTTATTGCAACAACAAAAATCCAACTAGAACATTAAGTAAGGAGCTCCTTCATAGAATCCTTCTTGCCTCACTCAGAGATGTTCTGCACATGTTTGAGTTAAGCTAATGAAAGGAAACTTGTCATCTCCTTTAAATTGTCATAGTTTTACTATTTGCTTTATTATGTAGAGAAAATCATGACATGTATTCCTAACAATCGATCTATTTGAGAAGAGACTGTGGAGAAAAATCTGACTCATTTGATTCCGAGTTAATGAGTTACCTTTGCTTTTGATTTATGGCTCTTATTTCTAGTGCCTGTCTGGCCCTACAGTTTATCTTCATTTGTTTAGGAAGTCATACCTTTATTATAGCATCATGACTAAGGGACAGTGACATTGCACCCAACAGCCTTGCAGTTTTAGCTTCTAACTCCTATGAAGATGACATCATCGTCAAGGTCTGAGAGGCAGCTGCTGGGGCAAGGTCAAAGAAGAAAGCCCTATAGGATGAAATTCAGGCAACAGGTGGCTGTGCTCTGCTAAGAGATTCTTTTAAAGAAATGTTTGATTGATCAAAATTTAGAAGAGCAGCTAACAGTGTCTGAGCACTGCCCATATGCCTTTATTCTTAGTTACTTTCATCATTTTCCTTTACTTTTCAAAACAACAGTGAGCATAGCATGGTTTATTATTAAAACAGAATGGAGTTAGCTTTGTAACCAAGAAGAGATACCATGAATTCTTCATCCCTCTTCTATTTGTAGAAGGATACTGAGAGTTTTTATAAAGGAAGAAAGGAAACCACATCCTAACATTTACGTGTAGACTTTCCATCTGTCTCTTCCCTTGGTGGAACTTGGGATTTGTCAATCCAAAGTACAAATATACCATGGAACAATTCACCAACCTTAAACTTTAAGTGGGATTTAAGGGAATCCAAGGTAATTTTAGCCACTGGAAGTTTTCGTTAGGCATTGACTTTAAACCTTATCCTTGATTAGTGAGAAGCACCATTTTATCCTAAATAAACAACCTCATATTTAAAATAAAATTGAAACCCTAGAAACAGAGCTTACTCCTTAGTGATGCTTCAGCGAGCTATGGGAAAGTCATAAAACCACATTCACTAACATCAGTATACCGCTGTACTTTGCTCTGTTTTCAATTGCAAGAAAAACATGACCAGGTAAGAAAGGATTCTTGTGTATCAAAGTTTCTTTACAAGGCTTAAGTGACTAAGAACAAACATGAAAGACGTGAGGACATTGGAGGAAGAAGAGAATCTCAACATAAAAGAGTATCTGAGAGATTTCTATAGATTCCGATTCTGTGTGGTTTGAATTTGGCCATTCACTTGGGGCACATGTTCCCACCTTAATTCGAAGGCTGTTGTCTTCAAACTGTCTTCTGTGAGAATGAACTCAGTCTCACGTCACTGCCTCCCTCAGGTCTCTACTAGCTCACCTGTTCTTGTCTCTCATGGGCTGGAATCCTCCCTGATAGTCTTCAGTGGGGTTTCCCTACTCCATTCTCATGGGCCTCTGCCAAGCTCAATGAATTCCCACTTAACAATCCAGAAAAGCTAGACTTCCAGGCTTTTTCTGGACTACCTGGTGTTACCTGGTACTATACACCTTTTATGATAGAACTGTTCTTCAAAGTGGTATAGAACATTCTTCAGGGTGGCTGTCTCCAATAGTGCTGGCCGGAAGAAGAATTCTCTTGATGTTCAACCTTTCTTTGACTCACTTTACTTATCCCCTCTCTCGGCCAAAGGTCAGAAATGGCTATCAGGAGACCTACAAATACTGTTCTATGCTTTATCTTTTTAAAATAGCTTTTAAAATTACAGTTCTTCTTATTACTCTTATGCATCCTGTATGACTTTTTATTTTTATTACTTCTAGGTTGTTTGCATAGTGTTGGGGGGGAATACATAAACATGAATACAGGTGTCTGTAGATTCCAGAAGAGGACATAAGATTCCCTAGAGCTGAGCTGCAGAAGGTTGTAAGCCTCCCTCTGAGGGTTCTAGGAACAAAACTCAGGTCTTTTGCAAGAACAGTATGCCCTCTTAACTGCTGAGGCATCCCTCTAGCCCAATGCTTCTGTATGTTAAAGTCACCTAAGCCTCAATAGCCAATAAACAACTCCTTTGTATTTCATGTTGATTTTGTAAACTCCACCTTCTATGTTGGGCAGTCAGTCTGTCTGCCAGCGCATCAAAACATGGAGTTTAAAAATCTTATTTTAAAATGATACCTTGAGTGGGGGTGGCTGGAGAGATGACTGGAGGTTGAGAGCATTAGCTACTCTTCCAGAGGACTGGGGTTCAGTTCCCAGCACCAACATGGCACCTCACAAACATCTGTAGCTCCAGTTCAAGGTAACCCCACCACCTCTTGTAGTTTCCATAGGAACCAGGCATGCAAGTGATACATAGCTATGCATGTAGCCAAAACCCTCATACAAATAAAGAAAACAGTGCATGACAATGAATGCCTTTGTATGAAAGGACTACATGTTTTTCTATATATCCGATACTGAGCATATCAGAAACTATTACTCTGCTCTCGTTCTTTGCACTATTCCATAACTGAAGTATAATTCCCTCCTGTAGCCATATTCCTTGGATGGAATAGGTCAAGATCCTATTTTAAAAGCAAAGCAGAAAACAATAGTACTTTCTCAGTGTACTTTTCTCTAGTGCTTCATGTTCAAAGTATAGCTCATCAGGAAGTTTTCCTTTAAGGCATATTACAGAGATATTCAGGTCATGAAAGGCTACGAAGTTTTTAATAGCTCATCCATTGTGTATGTGTACAGTATAAAATATGCAAAGTATCAATCTGACTCTCCAGATGTCATACCGTCTTAGCTATCTGTGTCACACAGATAGTTAAATATAAGTGATTTTGGTAACTTAGTGGCGTTGACATTTATTTATGTTGGACTAAGCTGTAACTTTCCCTGAGTGGGCACTGCACTGCTGTTTTCCAGAACTAAGACATTTTTGCTGTTGTTGCTGTGATCAAATTCCTAAGTTGAATGGCCTGGTTTAATCGCTGGTGTTTTGTGTACACATTGATGGAGTTTTAAACTAAAAAAGCAGAAAATGAAAGTATTTTTTTTTTTGGCAGGCATTTGATGTACTTGGAAAAGTTGAAGCTTACCTTAAGCTCCTTAAATCAGAGGGTTTAAGCCTGCCTGTCTTGGCAGCGAAGCATGAGGAATTACACAGAGAAATTAAAGACACTACAGCTGCTGCTCTGCAAAAGGGACGGACCTTAATCAGCCAAGTAGACTCCTGCCGGTGAGTAAAGTCTGCTTTATCCCCAGCGTAGAAAGCCTTTTTCAGAGTTTCCACAAGCAGGTAAAAAAAAAAAAA